AAATCTTAAAAAGAAAGACACACAGCCCATAAAAAATATAAAAATATGCCCATGTTTACAAATTACACAAATAAGGGAATAAAAATAGTTATATGTCATTTTTCACCTGTCAAAGAAAACTGATAATACTCATTATTGTCAAGGTGAGGGTAAACAGGCATTCTCTAGTGCCCAGAGACAACCATACTTTTTATGGTTTTATTTGTAAAAAACAAAATAGAATCTGTATACCCATAAATAGGAAATTGATTAAAGAAATTGTTATATGTCAATTATACCTTAAATTTTTAAATTTAAAAATTATATGCATACCATGAAATACCATACAACCGTAAAAAGAGCCAGGTAGATCTGCATATGCCAATATCAAAACACATGATAGTTTGATAACTGATAAAAATTAAATAGAAAAACTGATCCATGATTATGTATGCCAGAATTTACATGGAGACAAATCCAGAGGACTAACAATTATATGACTGGGTAGAGTCATGGGATGTTTATGGGAAGTTAACTTTCTACATATAGTATTTTAACATGTGAGTTTTTGAGAAACGAGCCTGGATTGCTTTGGTAATGGGGAAGCAGGCTTTAAAAATTAAGGAAGCGCAGGAAGGTGACAGTCTCAAACCTCCCTCCAGGGCGGCTGCTGTGAGGTGATCACAGAAGAGGCTGCAGCCGCTCTTCGGAAGGCAACCAAGTGGGCCCAGTCAGGCCTCATCGTCAGCGTCGGGCCACCTGTAGAGTCCGTCAGCCCAGAGACTGTGAGTGGACTGTCCACAGGTGACAAAAAGAAAACCGCCCAGACCTCCATTTGCCGAGAGAGGAACTCTGAGCTCGCCAGGTAGTCTTTCCCTGTCCACACTTTTCCCAGACCTACTTTGTGATGGACTTGTTCTTAGGGCTTTAATTGTATATCATCCCCTTGACCGGCTGGAAATGAGGACTGAGGGCTCAAAATACCCATCTGAGGTTGTGGTGGGCGAATAGGGTGGCGCTCCTGGCTGAGTGGGCATCTGTAGCCAGAGGGCTGTTTTTCCTGAGGAAGGCCACTACCAGGAACATCAGCTATAGTTTTTTGGAGTATTAGTAAACTTACGTCTTGCTGCCTTTACTTCTTCCAAACCAGCCCAGCTGTACACATGAACTCCTTTCTAGGAGTAGACAGGAGGAATGAGTGTTGCCTCCAGGAAGTTTGCGAGCTGTTCTGTGTTTGCTGGCCAGGAATAGGTGCAGCATAGTGTCTTCCCTCACTCCTGATGGTTTATGCAGCTCAAGTTTGAGGTCTGCTGTTTCAGAGGATTCTTTAGTTAACAGAGTATGAGAGAAGTGATTTAATTTAGCTTCTCTTCTTCTCAATGAAATCCACTTTTTCTTGTATCATTAGAAAATTTTTCCATCTTTTGATAACCCTAAAAGCCATTTCTCTGCATTCTTAAACCATCGCTGGGCACTGACACTTTCCCTCTTGACGCTCGCAGGACTGACCCCGTCCGACCCTTCATCAGTGGGCACGTGGCGAACAGCATGGCCGCAGAAGTGATCGCCTTGCTTCATAGCTTGCTAATGGCACCCGAGTCAAATGCTGCTCAAATATGGACCACAACGGCAGAAAAGGTTAGCACAGTGTCACTGCTTAGCTGAAGAAGCCAGGAGGAAGTTTGTGTTCTCTTTTAGCATTTGAATCCTGCCTAGCGAGGGTCCTATTCTAGTAAAGAGAGAGTTCCCAAATTGGCCAGATTGGCTTGTTAGCGGTCTTCCCCCTCAAATTTGCTTTGGTTTAGTCGTTTCACCTGTTAACCTGTGTCTCCTGTCACTGTCATTTCTGATTTTACAGAAGATGGGACCATATTCTCAGGGAAAGAATGGCACTCCTTGTTTCTCCTTCTTGCTTATGTTCAACTGGTACCGACAATAGGGAATCATGCAGCCTTGGTTTATTGGATTTGTAGTAAGTCCTTAGTAAGGATTTGTAGTAAGTCCTAAGGAGGCCTCTGTGATACATACCCCCCAGATGCTCTATCAGTAATTCATCATGACAGATGGTAGTCTAGTTTCCTGAAAACTAGGGAGCTCTATTCAATTCCCGTTTGCCCACAGTCATTTTTCAAGTGATTGCCTTAAGGAAATTGGGTGTTGAGTTGTAGGCAGTAAGCTGTGATGGTTTTCCCTCAGATAAGTTTTTCTTCTCCTTTGGGGTTTTGTTAACCGTGTTCGATTCTCCCACATTCTGAGGTTGTGTGTTTCCAGCCTTGTCTAATCACATGAGGCAAATATGGCAAGATGTCAATGGTCAGTTGATAGTTACTTCATCCCTCCCCTAGCCAGAGTTCCTTCAGTACACGGCAGCCAGCCACTGTTATGGACACTTCATCACTCTTAATATTGATAATAGCCAAAGCTTTAACTCCTACTACACGGCTGCTGCTTACATTTAGGTTCTGTCTCGTGCGCTGATGTACATTCCACAGTTGGGGAAATATGCAGAGAGCATTCTGGAAAATGGCAGCAGTAGCGGCAGGAAACTCGCCAAACTTCAGAGAATCGCCCGCCAGGCCGTCGCTGCACTGTGTGCCCTCGGAGGCTTCAAAGAGACCATCAAGATAGGGTCTGAGGTTCAGGTAACCAGCCAGCATTTCCCAAGCCCCTGCTCTCCCCAAGCTACTGCTTCATTGATTAACTGATCATCTGTAAAGGTGGTATCATCCACCCAGTTGGACAGAAATCCTAGTTCTTCAAGCTAAATAAGGAATCTGAGAAACTCATGAATTCTAATCCACACTGTGCTACACGTTATTCAGATATTAGTACAGTACTGTATGATGTTAATTATAATACTTGTGTCCCATGGTGTCACTAATATTTTAGTGTTGGAAGTTTGAGGTTCTATCCTATTGTGATCACCTTGACATAGGTTTTAGGACCTATTATTTTAACTCCCATTCAGTGCTTGGTATCTGTACTGTAACGAACTGTTCCTGTAATGCCACTAACCACAGCTGTGAATTTACTTCTCTGCACCTAGCCCATGACAGAGTTGCATACACCATCAGAGCTGGTCGATGGTGCTAATCCATCTTTGTCTCTAGGTTTTAGGTAGAGGAATATCAGGAAGCATCGGAGTAGTGGCTTCTATCAATGAACAGGAAGGTATAGCTACAGTCAGATTCCCACCCATAGACTGTAGAAAGACTTCGCAAGCATCAGACACATTGACTATTCCATTGTCTAGACTTTGTGTTCCAAGATCAGAGGTAAGGTGATTTTTAAATGCATTATTAAATGTCACTACAAATGGTAACCATACTGTAATGAAAAATGAGTGTGCACACAGTACAAGGGCACAAATACTTGTTTATCTTAAGTGTTACTTGGGATGTATATTTATATATTGGGCGTAATTACTTAATAGTAACATTTGTGTGAAGATTTTCACCTAGATGACAAAGTTCATTTCTTTGGTTAGGAATATTCCACAGGGTATTGTATTTTTAATTGTTTTGGTCTAGTTTGCAATTTTATGTATGGTGATTTTATTTTTTTTAACTGAAATTTTGAGAATTAACTCCAGATAATAACACCCTCATTTCTTATAAACTAACTACTTGAATTTAACTTTTTGCCATGCCCCCCCCGCACCACCATCAGGCACTGCCTCTTCATAAACTGTCCATTACTGAGAAGGTAGTACAGGCAGTCCAGTCCATGTTGCTTCCTCAGGAGGGAAGTCTCTCTATTCATACCTCACTTCCTGCAACAGGAGATGGGTCAGCTCCTGTGATGGCAGTCGTTCGGCTCCTGGCTGAAATAAGAACAAGGTGAGCACCCTCCAGAGATCCCCTAATGTGCTGGCTGAGGTGGTGCAGGCCACAGAGGTGGGGGGCCTTGCTGGGCCCCTCCACTCCTGGCTTAGTGGGTCCACGGTGTGAAGTTCATGTCAAACTGAGAACGGAGACGTTCTCTTGCGCTTTGTTTACTACATTTTTGTTACATTCCCCAATTTCTGCAAGTTTTGTTGCATTGTGCAACTTCTGAAATTTAAAACAGTTTAGCTGTACCCCTAAGAAAATAAGCAAGCAGTCAAAAGGTGACCTATGGAATATACACAAGGCTTCACTGCTTTGCTTTGGGAAAAGCACTTCGTTCTATCCCAGTGAATCTCTCTGCCACTTTACCTTGTTTAAATGGCTCGTGCTATGTTAATATACATCTGGTCCATCACTTTCCAAACTGATAAGGAGAAGAACTAGGGAATGCCCTCAAGTGGGAAGAGAAGTTACTTATGTTTCCAGATCAATCCAGTTCAGAAAAAAAGCAAGAGGAAAGGGGAGTTTGAACCTTTTTGTAAATTAGGGGACAAAGTTGATTGAAATGCTTTTCATAGTTAACTCCTTAGAGAATGAATATTGATGACTTTGAAATATTATAAATCTTTTAACATTAAGAGCATGCCTGGTCATGGCCCAGCTTTTAGAAGACAGCTTATTCTGTGAAGAATTCATACAACAGTGTCCAGCAGCTGTTGAAGTGCTCAACCTAGTAGCCCAGGAATGCAGTGCTGGTAAGTACCTGTGGCTTTCCTGTTTTATTAAGTGTTATCAGCACATTTCCAGTTTGATGATGGAATGCTAACATGCACACGCACGTGCTTGCACCCCCCCAACACACACACACGTCAAGTAGCTGAGCTCTATAGACCGCACTTAGCACAACTTTTATCCCAGATCTAGAAATGTAAACAGCTTTCAGTACGTACAAAGGAAATCGTTTTTCAATTTAACTTGAGGACCATGCCATCATGTTTTCTTTCTTCCATTCACATTAATTCATTGCATTTGTTTCCCTGTTAGAATTTTATGAACTCTTAGGGCTACTGATACTTTCTGACTATTGTCATTGGCTACATTTGAGTTCATAGTCAGGAGTTTGCACTAACTTCTGTGTGTGTGTGTGTGTGTGTGTGTGTGTGTGTCTGTGTTCATGGAAAAGTTTAAACACAAAAATAGGGAGACTAGTAAAGGGAACCCTAAACAGTTATCAACTCATGGTCAGTCCTGATTCATCTGTGCTGTACCCCCCTCCTGGATTGTTTTTAAGCAGATTCTTAGATATTACTCTACCCATAAATATTTTAGTATGTGTCTCTAAAAAAAAAAAAAGGACTCTTAAAAAAAATGCAATACCATTATTGCATCTGAAAAATTAATGGTAGTTCTTTAATACTAACTAGTCCGTGTGCATCTTTCTGATTTTCTCATATAGTCATACTTGTTTTTGTATTTGTTTATTTGAATCGGGATCCAAATAAAATTCTTACATTGTAATTTCATCCCCTCATTATGTTCTTTTTGCCTTGCAATTTATTTTTTGAAAGGTTTCCCATAGTCTGGATTTTGCTGATTATATCTCTGTGGTGTCATTTATTGTGTCCCTCAGTCTTCAGATTTCCTATAAATTGGTAGTTGGCCTGGGTGTTTTTAAATGAAAATTTATGCTTTTTCCCCAAGGATATAACTGGACTCGAAAGGAAATTGTTCAGTTAGATTAGCATCCTCCAGTGCTCTAGTTGCTAGCATTTTCATGAACTGTAAGGAATAGATGAATATCTTTAACTTCCTTAATGGTTTTAGTGGTATCCTTTGTCTGTGCGGGGTCATTTTTATTGTCCATGTTATTTACTGTTTCTCATGCCATTCGCTTTTTCAGTCACTCCCTAATCTCTCTTCTTTCTTTAAATTTTTCTTTTTCATGTGGTACCAATTTCTTTGATTGGTCTTTGCTTTTGGTCTTCACTCTGTATGTGTCTTACTCTTCAAATCTCCCTCTTTTAGGGGTAGTAGCTCTGTGGAACCAGTGACTGTTAATAAACCTCAGGGAGATTCTGAGCATAGAGAATAAGAACAGAAGAAAAGGAATTTGCTAGGCTTCTGAGGGGAAGTTACTTGTGACTAAATGTTTGCCCGTAATTCAGCTTTGTACTTGTGGTTGGGTCTTCATTCCTTGCCCTGCTTTTTCATGTTCTTGGCCTACGTTGCATTGTAAGACCTACGTGACTGATTTTTAGCAAGCATGTACTTGCTGAATTGATCTCTTGCTTTTTTTTCCCTTTTTTTTAAAGATTTTATTTATTTGAGAGAGAGCACAAGCTGAGGGCAGAGGGAGAAGCAGGCCCCCCTGAGCCGGGAGCCACATGTGGGGCTCAATCCCAGAACCCTGGGATCATGACCTGAGCCGAAGGCAGACACTTAACTGACTGAGCCACCAAGGCTCCCTGATCACTCGCTCTTTTTTTTTTTTTTTAAAGATTTTATTTATTTATTTGACAGAGAGAGAGACAGCGAGAGCAGGAACACAAGCAGGGGGAGTGGGAGAGGGAGAAGCAGGCTTCCCGCCGATCAGGGAGCCCGATGTGGGACTCGATCCCAGGACCCTGGGATCATGACCTGAGCCGAAGGCAGACGCTTAACGACTGAGCCACCCAGGCGCCCCACTCGCTCTTTTATAGGACTCTGAATAGCCTTTTATACGTTTTATCGAATAAGGGAGTCGTAAAACTGTGAAATTAACTTTTCTACTTAATGTACAAGCTAGGAATCAGTGATTTGGAGCAGTGACCTCAAGTGGTTTTTTTTTGTTTTGTTTTGTTTTTTTTTAAAGATTTTATTTATTTATTTGAGACAGAGAGAATGAGAGAGAGAGAGAGCACATGAGAGGGGGGAGGGTCAGAGGGAGAAGCAGGCTCCCCGCTGAGCAGGGAGCCCGATGCGGGACTCGATCCAGGGACTCCAGGATCATGACCTGAGCCGAAGGCAGTCGCTCAACCAACTGAGCCACCCAGGCGCCCTCAAGTGGTTTTAATAATAACCCACCTAACCCATTTTCCCTAATGGAAAAGAACTCTGTGGTCACGAAGAGTTGGATAGAAATGTGTGGGAAGTGTTTACTAATTGCCACAAAAGAGAAGACTATGAGCTTATACACATCAATTTATATCCTAAAATAGTGTCTTATGTCAAGTTTAACAGTCCTTAATAACTCACTTATTAGGTTACCGGAAAGAGCTTTGAAGTTTAAAGTACTTATCAAAGTTTGCTGGTTTCTCAGTCCTTTACTGAGAACAGCCAGCCAACAACCAACCAACCCTGCATCTGGGTTACTTTGTAACACAGCGGTGGATTCTTAGAGCCCACAAGAGAGTCCTAGACTGTGCTTAGAAGAAGTGCTGTTTAATAAATGTTTCAAGGTGATGGGTAGAAGAGAAAGAGTTCTTTGATTTTTATTTTTAAATGTATTAAGACTTTTTATTTCATGTATGAAAATGTGAAATTCACACACAAAAATACATTTGAGTCTCTAAAATGAAAAAAAATAATTCAATGAATTTCTTCCATTATTTTACTTCTGTGATGAATTAAGCAGAAACTGGGCCATTATATCGTTGACTTACTCCTAGCTCAATTTTATAGCTTCTCTAATCCAGGGAAAAGAATACCTAATTCCATTTGGTCTAAGAAGATAGCACTACACCAAAGAGTTTTTTCCCATGAAGAAATATTTCTGCGAAATTCACTGGATCCCTTGGTTGAAGTAGCATAGGAAACAGATTTTTTTTTTAAAGATTTTATTAATTTATTCATGAGAGATAGAGAGAGAGAGAGAGAGAGAGAGAGGCAGAGGGAGAAGAAGGCTCCCCGCTGAGCAGGGAGCCCGATGCGGGACTTGATCCCAGGACTCTGGGATCATGACCTGAGCCGAAGGCAGACGCCCAACCATCTGAGCCACCCAGGTGCCCCAGGAAACAGATTTTAATACTGAAGAAAAGGCACATAAAAACCAAAAAAAAATTCCCAACTTGATGTTCTTACAGAAGTTAGAACCTCTCCGGTCCAAATGTTTCTTCGACTCCCTACTTTCTAAATATACACATTCCCTGAGCCAGAGGTTCTTCTCAAACTTTGAAAGTTCATAAGACTCCCTCAGAAGCATGTTAAAAATGCTTTCTAGGGACGCCTGGGTGGCTCAGTCAGTTAAGCGACTGCCTTCGGCTCGGGTCCTGATCTCAGGATCCTGGGATTGAGTCCCTCATTGGGCTCCCTGCTTGGCGGAGAGTCTGCTTCTCCCTCTCCCTCCGCTGCTCCCCCTGCTTGTGCTCTCTCTGTGTCAAATGAATAAATAAATAAAATCTTAAAAAAATAAAATAACAAAATGCTTTCCAAACTCCACCCAAAAGTCAGAATCATCACTTGAAGGTGAGCCTGGGCCGTTGTGCTAGGACGGGCCCAGACCTCACTTGGAGAAACTGCTCTAAGCTTTGCCAACCCACCTTCTTTGCTTATCTGCCCTCCCCTGTGCTTTCCATGGCTGCTTCTATGGGTAGTCCCTCACTGGCTAGCCAGGCCTCTCAGCCCTTTCTCTTAGGACCCCCAGCCTCATGAATACCCCACACTTAAAACTAAAGTTGTTCTTTCCTCTCAAGTCAGCTCTCCTTTCTGACTTCCTTGTTTTAGGTTGGACTCAGACTATTTTTGACTCTCAGATACTGAGTTAAATATGACAAACATCTCCTTCCTATTCTTCCACATCCAATCATTTGCCATGTTCTATTCTTCCTTTGAAATGCTCCTGAAATTTATCCCTTTCCTGCCCATTTCTACTACCAGCTTCATATGTCAGGTGCTTTTTCTTTTGTGTTTAGACATCTGCATTATTCTCCAAACCTTTCCTTTGTGCACCTTGTCTTTCCACGTTGTCATCATAGTTAGCTTCCTGAAGCCCTGCTTTGAGTGGTTGTCAAGAGCGTGGTGCTGTCCCCGAGATGCTCGCTTCCCTAAGCATAGTTACTACTGTGGGGTTGTCAGTTACAGACTGGAGTGAGTTCATAGCTGGTCCCGGCCACTACTTGGTGCTCTGGCCAGAGGACGGTCAGTTAGGAACGTATTCCTCTCACACTAGGTACTGTAAAATCCCCTCTTGTGTTAAGCCTACCTCACGGCAGATATGCTTCACCTCTGCCAGGTAGCCCCCGTTCTAACCCCTAAGAATTGCTATTCCCTAATTCAGTATGATTCCAGCCAATCCCATAGAAATCTCTCCTGACCCTGGTTACTGCTTGATTGTAAGGACACTGTTGCACACGTTACTCCCTGGATCATCCAGTATTCCGTGTATACGTTCTCTCGGAATAAGGTTTGGTTTTTTTAAAATAATTTTTTATTATGTTAATCACCATACATTACATCCTTAGTTTTTGATGTAGTGTTCCATGATTCATTGTTTGCGCATAACACCCAGTGCTCTATTTAGTACGTGCCCTCCTCAATACCCATCACCAGGCTAACCCATCCTCCCACCCCCTGCCCCTCTAGAACCTTCAGTTTGTTTTTCAGAGTCCATCGTCTCTCATGGTTCGTCTCCCCCTCTGGAATAAGGTTTTAATTTAAAAAAAATAATTGGAAAGTGTTTCTCCAAGCTAGCTAGGCTCTTTATGACTAGTTAGTTTACATTTATATACTGGATTCCGTGAATCCTGTAACTGAATAGTTTCCTCTTTGATTTGTCCAC